CCCAGTCTATGGAGACATTTAGAACTGAGCTTGAAAGACACATGTTGCAGATCCAAGTGGACTACGTGACTACGTAGCCCTTATAAATTCACTCGCTGCTGGGAATTCTTTCCCTTGTTAGTAATTCTTCTAATTTTATGTGACAAACATGGAATTCAAAGACGTAAACCTATTTACCTCAAATACACGTTAGAAATGAAGAATAAAGCGATTGCGTAGACTACAGTTTCCATTTTGAGCATATAACCTTTACTATGCTGGCTGACACCCAAAGTTATTTCCCCTAAGTTACTACCGAACACTCCTGTAATTAGCTTGAATTTGTATATTAGGTCAGATTCTTGCAGAACGGCATTAAAATATTCAGGGATCCAGACAGTACTGGGACGGCCCTAGCCATCCTTGAACGTTGAGGTAGTTGGAGTTTGTTTAGTCGGTTCGGCACTTGCGTAGATAAGTTTCACTCTTGGTCCTCGCGTGATGCTTTATTCCCGCGGCCTCTGAGTGCTTTTCCTTCGTACCCCAGTGTTTTTGAAATAAATATATGATATAAATGTCCTCTCAAGAATCACCTTTTGTTGGATGTCGGATCCGAATAATCTCGAAGGCGAAGATTCGATATGAAGGCTTTTTGCACTCCATTGATACTGACGCCCCTGACGATCCAGTAATAACACTGTCGAAAGGTTTGTTCCTGCGCCTAGTCACCCTTATTTTAGTTTGGTCTTTCGGAACCGAGGATCGCCCTAGCGAGCGTTTTGTCGGTCCCAGGAATGAAGTTTATGAGCAGATAGTCTTCCGCGGACGAGACCTAGAGGATGTCCGTGTTTTGCAGTCTTCCGTATTTTTAAACGAAGATCCTTCAATAGTCAGTGCAGTCCCAGGGGTTTGTACTTGACTTTTATCCGAAAGTTCGCTTTAGTCCGGCGGGTTTTCAGCGACGAAGCCTCGAGAAGAGAACGACGCCCCAGGTGCGTACTTTCGTCCATGCACTTGCCATGTGTGATGAAGTAAACGTGCACTGATCGCTTGATGCCGCTTTTATTCTGAAATTTGTATCCCTTGTTCCGTTCAGAGTTTATCTAGTTTATTTTTACCTAGACCCCTGGTCTGTCACCCCCTTTGGAGATGTGAAAAAACCTGAGATACCACCGTTAATTCCAAGATGTACCGGTGTGGAAACTCACCCGGCCTCCACGTTTCCCATCTTCATGTCGCCTAAACCCCCGTCG